GGTGTGTCTGGAGTCCTGTCGGCGCGGTGAGAGCCACCGCTCGCTCCCAAAAGGCTCCAGGTGACACGGCCCCGTCCCTTGGCCTCGCTGCAGACACGGAGTAGTGTGGTGTTGGGTCTCGCTCTCAGTGCAGAGGCCATGAAGATTAACCAGAACACTGTGCTGCAAGGGAAGAAGGTGACCCTGGTGCCGTACACTGCTGCACATGTGCCCCGGTACGTGTCCTCCTCGGGCACTCCTGCATGGTTTGGTTTCACTTCTCTCTTTAAAGGGAGTGCAGTGAGTGTGCCCTCCATGCCTGGCAGCTCCATTCCTGGCAGGACTGTGCCCTGTGCCAGGTCTGCTGACAGGGAGAACTTCACCTGTGTACCCATGGAAAGGGACATACCTGGCTGTGAGCGAGCTGCAGCAGTTCTCTTGTTCGTTGATGCCTTTCCCTAGTGACAGTGCAAGAGCAAAACTTCAGTGTGTAAAGCCAGATGGATGTTGGATGACTTAGTAGGAAGCATGTAGGGAGTCTGTAAAATTCTGGCTTGGGCACCTGCAGCCTCAGCACAAAGATACCAGGAGTAGTGGGTTTGTCAGTGTCCAGGAGGTGCTGAAGTCTCACTCATGAGAACAGAACTCACTCGTTCACCAGAACTCAAGTTCACCAGTACCAGAGGGAATGGCCTGAAGTTGTGTCAGAGGAGGTTTAGGTTTGATATTAGAAAAAGTTTCTTCCCCCAGAGGGTGGTTGGGCACCAGAACAGCTCCCCAGGGCACTGGTCACAGCACTAAGGAGCATTTGGACAATGCTCTGAGGCACATGGTGTTTCTCAGGGACATTCTGTTCTGTTGGACTCGATGATCCTTGTGAGTCCTTTCCAACTCTGAATATTCAGTGATTCTGTGAGAACTCAATGCTCAGTACTCTTAAAAACATCAGGTTTGCCTTGGGCACTCCAGACAAAGCCACAGGACAAACTTGCTAGATTTCCACAGAGAGTACTGATTCCCATGTTAGGTAGTGGAGAGAGGCTTGTAGATACTTCCAAGTTGCCACAAAAGCCATGCAGGTGATTCCAGAGCTGGTTTGTGACACCTGATTCTTAGGGTGCCTGTAAATCCACGTGATGCTGCAGCTTGGGCAGTGATGTGGGTCTGGGTGTGCTGTCAGGTACCACGAGTGGATGCAGTCGGAGGAGCTGCAGCGCCTGACGGCCTCGGAGCCCCTGAGCCTGGAGCAGGAGTACGAGATGCAGCGCAGCTGGAGGGACGACACCGACAGTGAGCACCTGGAATGCTTTCCAGGGGAGGGTGGGAGTGGTGAGCAGGTCTCTTCTGTCCTGGAAGGGACCCAGAGTGAGCTGGGAGTGCTCCTTGAGTGAACCTCCTTCTCTGAACCAGGGGGGATGGGAGACCTACAACAGCAGTTTTGAACTGGCTTTCTGTTTATAGGCAGTATGTGCTCAGGGAAATGGAGAATGGGGCTGTGATGTCCTTTTCATGCAATTTTTCAGAGATGACAGTGATTCACTTCCCACAGCATTATGTGCTGAGCTGTTCCTGCACAGCCAACACTCCCCAGGTCTGATCATTGTAAAAAGCTGGAAGGGAGTTGTATTTTTCCTTGAGAAACTGAATGATTTTACAATCACTTGGTTGAGGTGTGTTGACTGAATTGGTTCCCTGACTCTCCTATTGGTAATGAATCACTGCCCATAAAAGACTGGTAGAAATACAGTGAGCTGGAAATTATTGAGGCTGGCAAAGATCTCAGTCTGGAGCATTTGTCTTAGGTGGCATTAAAGGCCTTACTCAAAGCAGCAAGAACATGGATGAGGTGAATCACCTCTCAGCCTCTTGTACACCAAACAACTCTTTGCCCAAACTTGCTGCTGAATGAGACAAGGCAGGAAAACCTCAGACATGGGATGGAAGTTTTCATGCTCCTTAAACAGCCTCTTGGTGTCTGTGTCACCCTCACAAAGGGTTTTTCCAAATATTCCTCACATTTCTATGGGTGGGAGCAAGCACGCTTGGTGTGGGAAGCCCAATGATTAGCTCTTCCTTGCTGTTAACAAGTGAAAATTGTTGTTCCTCTGTCCATTACATGCCTTTAATTTCATTCTTCAGCAATTTGGGAATATTTCTCAGCATTCCCTGAAAATGCTGCCATGTTCTTGTTCCCCCAGAGTGCACCTTCATTGTGCTGGACACAGCACAGTGGTCTGGGCAGGAGGATGAGGAGTGCATGGTGGGAGACGTGAATCTCTTCCTCACCGACACTGAGGATCCAACTTTGGGCGAGATTGAAATCATGATTGCAGGTCAAGTTCTGCTTCATAGCTTGGCCCTTTGTCACCAGCTGCAGACAGGTGTTATGTACAGCAGCTTTTATTCTCATTGCTTTACTGTGGCTGGTCAGCCCTGGTCAGACCTTTGCTGGTCCAGGTTACAGTCCCTTCTGAAAAGTGTCTGCTGTGGCTGGTTTGTCTCCCACAACTGGATGCTGATCCTGTGGCTGTCTCTTTCAGAGCCCAGCTACCGAGGCAGAGGGTTTGGCAAGGAGGCAACTCTGCTGATGATGTCCTATGGTAAGGGTGGCTCAGTGCACAGGAACGGGAGTGTGGTTGGGCAAGGAATGCATCTGCCCCAAAAATTGGACTCCTGTGCTTTCATACATGTGGCACCTGAGCAGGTAATAAAATGCTTCTCTCTCTGATTTCTTTTGCAGGAGTGAGAAACTTGGGGATCACCAAATTTGAGGCTAAGATTGGTCAGGAAAATGAAGTCAGTATCTGCATGTTCAAAAAGCTTCATTTTCAGGAGGTGCAGTAACAGCCCATCTTCTGCCCAGAGAACATGAGCAGCATTTGCCCTGTGACTGGCATTGAGCTGCTTTTGCTCTGTGTGATGCAGGTTGCTGTGAACAGTGTTTTCCAAGAGGTGACACTGAGGCTGGATGTCAATGACCAGGAGAGACGATGGCTCCTGGAACAGACAAACCACGTGGAGGAGAAGAGCTACACTGACCTGAAGCAGCCAGCTGAGGTGCTGGAGACCTGACAGACACATCCAGACACCGACCACATTTCCAGGGAGGAGTTGGACACTGTTGCAAAGTCTGGGTGTGGAGGACACCAGTGAGACAACACTGCATTTGACTGTGTTTATCTGTCTCCTTTGTCATCCTGTCAACTTTGCCCCTTGCTGTGCCAACCAGGATTACTGCCTGAAATTTGGACCCAGAGAACAGCCACTTATTCACAGGTTTGGCTAGGAATTACTATAACCTTAACATGCTGTTCCAGCAGAGCCTAAAATCATCAGCAGTTGATTCCTGGTGCCACCAGTTTCTGGACAAGCAGAAACTTCCCCCCCTGCCCTTAGAGCAGGGTTCATCAGTTCCATGATGAGGCCTCATATTCTGGCAGCTCAGTCTGTTTTCTTTGGAATAAAGAAAAATGGCAAAGCTCTGAGGTGTCTGAGCACAATGTGGGGCTTGGCTGCTTGCTTTGGCTGCTGAGAGAGTGGCTAAAGTTGTAAAGGACAGCAGAGACATTTTGAACCCAATTTCTGGGCTGTGGTGGGTTTTGGGGGGACACTGTTGGGTCCTGGCAGTGAGAGGCCCAGGTGTGGGTGAGCACAACCAAAGGGCAAGTTCACGTGATGAAAATTACTGATACTGGCTGACTGGGACTAGAGCTGAGCCCCATCATGACAGCAGTGTAACAGGGAGGTGCAGGAGTCTGCTGAGACAAAGCTCTCCCAGAGGAGCTTCAGGGCTGTGCTCCAGATCTGGAAACCTCAAGCCAGCAGTGAAGGGATACTGCACTTAATTTTCTCCATCTGCTTTCATCAAAGCAGGGAGGAGGAAGAGGAGAGCACACTGAAAGGAGACAGAATAGCAATCCCCTTCTCCCAGGAGCTCAGGACTCGTTCTGCTGAGCCTGGAGGTTCTGTTTGCTGTTCTCCACTAAGATGAATTGGGGATGAAAATATCTCTTCCTGGGGGGCAGATATATTTAGGGCAGGTGTTAGCTGGTTTCCACTGTGGTAGATCTGAGATCTGTGGATGAAGAAGAGGCACTTGCCTGACTCCCACTGGACAGACTTTCCTGTGCAGTTCTTCAGCCTGACCTCTCCTGCCCTCCACACACTCTCCTCAGCAGGGAAGCTTGCTAAGAGGAGAGGACAGAAGGTAAGGAGGATAACTGACTCTCCTGTGTGTTTCCCCACTGTAATAGCAGTCATAATGGCTAATCCTCAACCAGAAATTATCTGTTCCAATGACGCAGGATCAGGTAATAACTTTTAGATTTGCCCAGGGATATTTTCATTGGAGACTGGCAGTCTGTGGAATTTTTAGTGGTGCTGTGCCTGTATTTTTAGGGCCTGGGGGTATTAGTTTTCCAATTTTAGTTAATTTAAATACATGATTCCTGTGACTAATATTAAAGCCAAGCGTGGGAACAGTGCATCGTGATATTTTAAACAAGTATTTAGTGTGGATTTAGTTGTAGCGAAAGCTTTGTGTGGTAATAAAGTGAAGAGCAGCTCTGCTTCCCGCTGGGATTACCATGACAAGGGCTACTAATCCTCGTGCTCTTCATCACCTGCTGCAGGCAGAAATGGATTCTGTCCTCCAGAACAAGATTTGCAGAACCTGCTGAGTGAACCTTCTGGCTCTGTTCTCCTTCTGTGGAGCATTTCATCCTTCTGCCAAAGGAGCAAGGCCAAACTGGCAGGAGAGATGTAGCTGGGGTAGGATTTGCTAGCCTAAAAAACTGACCAAGGTGGGAAAAAATAATTTCTTTTCACCTCTGCTGCCAGGGAAAAAGGGGCACAGTGAAATCCTGTCACAGCTCCCCATGCCCAGCCGGTTGCTCCGGAGCCAGCGAGAACCCCACTTGGCATTCCCGGTCCCCCGGCAACGCCGGCACTCCTCTGCCTCCACGGGCGGCTGGGAAAGCCTTTGCCTGGCAACCCCAAACAAAGTTGGGTCTGTCCTGCAGCTCAGCCCTCCCCCAGGCTGGGGGAGTCCCAGCAAGGCTCCCACAGGGAACCAGTCCCTGGCTGCTCCGACCAGGCTAAGAGGCAAAAGATGCTCCTGGGACCTGCTGGGTGCTCCCACTCCTGCCCCATATGGGCAGCCCCAGCCTGTGGCATCACACCCACCCCAGGCAGGGATGTCCTACTTGCCCCAAAGGGGTGAGAGTGGGAAGGGAGAAGACTGGGGCTCACCTATGTTCAGAGGACACGACTTTGGAAGATGAGGTTGATTGCAATTGGCTCCCCCAGATTCTGGGAAGAAGTGACAGCCTGCACGTTCCCCAGAAATGTGGTGGCACTTTGTCACTTGGTTGTCATTTGAGGTGCTGACTTGTGTGACCACTTGCCTGCTCAGCTGGAGGAGCTTGTCTGGGGGTTTGGAGATTAAAAC